TCTCTGCTGCTGTAATCAATATTTGTTTGCGTCAGGCAACTCAAGGAGTTTATGCCGTGATTAGCAGTCTTCGTTTCGCATCATTCGATCTTACTATTACAAACACTCGACTTCTGATCATATCGCGCAACTCTGCTGTTGTAATCGTCCTAACGAATCGTCATGTACTTGTTTCAAGTTTTTGGTATTGTGGCTATCACTTCGGCGATCAGTGCTGAATTTAGGTCAGGTTCCTGCCACTCTCGGCTCACTGTGGAATGCTCTTGCCCGCCACAGTGGCATCTGTGGGGGAACGAGTGTTATCGCATCTCCCCTTCACCGCATTCTTGGGAGGAGGCCAAGTCGGCTTGCCAAGGCACAGGCGGCAAGATGGCCGCTCCTCGCTCGCTCGAGGAAATGAATTTCATGGCAGAATTGGCACGAAAAGTGGACAGTAACTACTACGCCTGGATTGCTTGTAATGACATGAAAATAGAAAAAACTTGGGAATGCGACGGTCAGGAAGGAGAAGAGCCATTCCTGGAATGGGGTGATGGGCAACCAGATGATGATACTGGCAACCAAGACTGTGCTGCAATCGCATCGTCATTAGGTGACAGAATGGATGATGGTGAATGTTGGAGATCTTGCTGGGCTATTTGCGTTCGTCGAGCTGCTTGCACTCACGGACTAATCCAGCTCCGTCACTAATGCATCTCTACCGACACCCACGGCCGCGTTCTCAACTCAACCTGCCTCCACAACCACCTAATCCAGGAGCCTTGTTACCGAGCGTGCTGTGCGCCTGCCACGTACTCGGCCTCCTGCGTGGAGGTACTTACGTCACTACTTGAACATCGAGAAAAGTATTAAACTGAAGAAAGTATGCGAGGTAAACAGCACTGTACAAGCTTGGGTAACAAGGATTATGTCAAAAAAACCATGGTTATTTCCGTATGCATCGGCTTAGTATAACTTAATGGGACAATAACGGAGATGTCTGCAAACCTGAACTTGAACTTAATACGGGAAAACATTGACTTTTTAAAACAAAATATTCAGTGCATCGAAAATGTACAGGTGACATTGTTTCCGCTCTAAACAAAAACAAGGATGTCTAATGAAACAATCAAGGCAAACTAACATCTTGTTCTCATTACGAACGAGATAGCAATTAGATTAAAACAGATTTCGATTAAATAGGTGCGTTTTGCAGTTCAATCTTGTAATGTGGAAAACAAACACTGAGTTTCTCTGTCATTTACATCAATGCATTACTAAAACTGTTGAAATGGTAACCTTGGAAATACGAATAAACGTATGTGTTATTCATTACGTCAGAAAAAAAAAGACTTTTACCCGGTTTAGAGCCAAGTCTGCTTGTAAATTCGCCTGACATTATTTGAGATTGGTGTATTTTTGATCGTTGTAGATCGTTGGAACAAAATGTACAAATTCAATACTTTGGTGTTTGATCGTTATTGTATATTATGCACAAATTGAGAGTTTGCATCATAAACGAATTGTTGATTTCAAAAAACATGATATGAGTAACAAACGTTAGCTAGAAAGTAATTTTTACAAGAATGGTTAAGTCATTTGATGACCAATGTTCATTGACAATACTCATCACACTTGAAAGTGTTCGAACATCTTTCGTTTTCATTTATTACGAATTCGTTGGAAATTGAAAAGTATTATAATGTTTCATTGTATGTAGCATTTCTGCAAGCTGAAAACTAAACTTGAGGCTTGTAAGTTATGTAGTCATTTGTTAGGCGCACCTGAGTTTGCAATTAGTCCAAAAATGCGCGAGTTTTAGGGCATGTATTCAGTGTTTTCATTATACTGTAGTGTTTGAACATCTTTCTTTCATTTATTGCGAATTCGTTGAAAATGTAATTATATTATGGTTAATTGAATGTATCTTTCATGTAAACTGACCATTCAAATTGAAAGTAGTCATTAACGTAGTCAACTGAATTGTAAATGTGCATTTAGGCCTAAATGCGCGAGCTTTAGGGCATGTACTCAGTGTTTTCATTATAGTGACTAGCATGTTTAAAGTTGCATATTCCTCGAGGCTATTTCGAGGTTTTATCCCGAAAATAGATTGCAGATTTTCGAGCAATACAAAAGTTATTCATTTTTGAATGAGACATCGGCCGAAAAAAAATCGGCATTGGGAACAAGTCTGCCCGGAAAGCAGATCTGTTTGTGCCCCTAGTTGTTGCAGGCGTTCACAATAACAAACAAACAAACAAACAAACAAACAACCCAACACCCCAACAAACAAACAAACAAACTCCCCAACACCCCAACAAACAAACAAACAAACAAATAGGAAACGAATCGGGCCTTTTTGGGGGTTGGAATGAAGCATACAAGTTGAAAATTTATTAATAGGAAAACATCTCTAATGTTTCGAATAGCATCGGGGAAAGCCACTTTAACATGAATGAATTGACGTGAGTACCAATTTTGAGAGTAATGTGTCTTTTAAAGATCACCTGATTATCAGGTGCTTCTTATTCTTATAGTAGAAAGTTCACAGACATCCTCGGGATTTAATTTTAACCTACATTTGAATCACGTTTGTTAAGAAAAAAATCACCCACTTTTAGTATCAGCAAAGGGTTTGTTAGCGGTGAAATATCTATTAAAAAAATGTATGGATAATTGTATATCAACAACTATACCATGCTACCAAAAATAGTCACTGGTTTAAACAAAAGATCGTAAATCAATCTTGAAATTCTCACAGTTTGACAACCCCAAAGAGAGAGTGCATGACCCTGCCCTCTCTGCTACGGGGCCGTATCTTAAGTCCGACGCCTCACAGGTCGGACGCCTCGTAAGTCCGCTCGTAAGTCCGAAATTTCGGACTTATGAGGCGTCGGATTTATGAGCGGATCCTTCTGCTACATGGGGCCTGCTCTTGTAGATTTTACAGTGAAACAAAATTCAACATTCTTCAAAGATTTGACAATCTCATAATCAATTTAAATAAAAATGATCTAGGACTTTATTTAAAAGAATGTAAGTTTTACATCCATCGCCTGAATTGTTTTCTAAGTGAAGGCTGTGCATGTATACATTGTGCTTAAGCTATTATTATTATATTATTATTATTATTATTATTATTGATATTGTTGAGACTAGCCCTGTGGTTTTAAAAACTGTTGTTAATTTGGAATCAAACTGACGCCTTGACAAGTGCATTTCAAATTGTTTGGATGTTAAACTTTACTACAAATGACCACTACTGAACATTAGGTTCAAAACTCTGGATCTGTATACTTTATAAGAATCTAGTTCACAATAAAATAACATTTGGTGTTGCAGTTACAGAACATGAAGACCTCACAGTCTCTTTTTAATTTTACGAAACCGAAGTGATGTAAGTGATCTATGCGAATGTAATTTGATGTTTAATCATAATTGTCACCATTTTCACGAACAGCTACACATGTCAAAATGACAATCTTTTCGATTTCGAGTTTTTTTCTCACTTTTTCGCTTTAAATCATCGTACTTAACCCTTTTGACATGCTTCTGTAAGCCAAACCCCCCTCCCATTAAATTCGTCATTACATTAATGATGCAATTAAGGGGCAGGCATCTCAATTAGGCATTTTGCGCTTTCAATGTGCCCCTTGAACGCGTACAAAACGTATTTGACGGAAAGGCGTAAAAGTAAGGTCAAGTCAGAGCCACACATCAGTTGCGCGCGCATAACCCGCGCGCACATTCCCTTTGGAAAAACACAAGGAACAGAAGGGGCCTAAATTATGTTCGAAACGTGGATTTTCGTTTTCACGAAGGGAAACACATCTGTACCAATTAACTATAGCGCTGATTCTCATTACTGGCTTCACATAAAAGTTTACCTGTCAAAGAATCATGTGAATGTTTCAGTTCTACATAAACGTGTTGCAAAGAAGTACTTTAGGCTATGCAGTTTTAAAATATGTGGACCTTCTCTTGCGATATCTCAAAAGCGTTTTTCCCTTCAAAATCCACATGTGTGGCTCTTCCTGAACCCGAGGCGTCCGATATGGATTAAATTTCAGGCGATAAATTTCACTGTGTTGTGTAACCGTGTCAGTTATCAGCGAATTCACATGCGGTTCGTACACGCTGTATTAAAATAAATGAAACATGACGGTTAACTTTAAAAAAAAAAAAAAAAAAAAAAGAAGGTATTATCTGGTGTACGAAGACTATACAGCAATAATTATGACGACTGGTGGCCTTCAGCCCGAGCCATTATCGAGGACCTTCCCCTAACCGGTTTCAAACCAGACATTATTTTTCCATTATTAACGCGTGTCTTTTTATTTTGTAAATAAATATACGCTGAACACGCCTTGTAATATTCACTGCACGATTTAATATCTGCCGTTTCGTGGTTAACTTCGCCAACAATGCGGCACAAGTAGGTTTACAAGGTTATGAGTGGCCGACTATTGTTGCCAAGTCGGTCAGCAAGCGCATACAGGCTAGCCGCGCACTAATTAAACTTGTGTTCTTCATTCTAGATGGTTGTTTGAAACCTGCAAACAGGAAGTGTTACCATGGAGACTATTATTATCGTCCCTTTCCCTCAATTTTAACGGACGCTGAAATAATGTGACCATGGCGACTAGGTCTTTGTTGATACCCAGATTTGACGTCAGAGAAAAACTCCCCACTTTTTGTCGCGACCATCACTTTTCATTCGTGCCATTCGACCTCAGTGGTGAAACTGAGTGGTGTCTTGACGGGTTTATATCAAACAGATCCTCTCCAAACCGTCTGAACGCTTCATCATGTACTTCTTCAAAGTTTTTGGTATGGTAGCAATAACTTCAGCTATCAATGCTCAATTTGGGTCAGGTGCCTGTCATTCTCGGCTCGCTCTCGAATGTTCTTGCCCGCCACAGTGGCAACTGTGGGGAAAAGAGTGTTATCGCCTCACTCCTCGGATGGCACAAACTTGGTATCAAGCCAAGTCGGCTTGCCAAGATATGGGTGGCAAGATGGCTGCTCCTCGCTCGCTGGAGGAAATGAATTTCATGACAGATAAGGCACGAGAAATGGACGACACTGGCGACTACTTCGTCTGGATTGCTTGTAATGACAGGGAAGTTGAAGGAACCTGGGAGTGCGACGGTCAGGAAGGACGTGAGCCTTTCCTGGAATGGGATCTAGCTAGTGGGCAACCTGATAGTAATGGCAATCAAGATTGCGGCGTTTTGGCGGAGAGATTTAATAACAAAATGGATGACCTCGGTTGTGACAGTACGTATCCCATTTGGCTTTTTGCATGCGTCGAGCTGCTTGCACCTACGGCCTCATCCAGCTCCGTCACTAATGCATCTCTACCGACACCCACGGCCGCGCTCACAACTCAACCTGCCTTCTCCACCACAGAAACCAGGAGCCTTGTCACCAAACATGTGGCGCCTGTGACTCGGCCTGCGTCCAGGTGCCCGGATGTCACTCCTTCATTATGAAAATAAAAGAACTAAAGCAAATATGCCGGCTTAACAATACTGTACAAGCTTGAGTAACAAGGACATGTTGCGGCCTTTTGGCGGAGAGATATAATAACAAAATGAATGACGCTGGCTGTGACAATACGCTTAACGAGAATGACATTAAATTGTGTAGCATATGTCTCCTCGCGTAGACCAAAAGAAAAATGGTGCCAAATTATGCATGACACGACATTTTAGGGACTAAAGACTTGTCGCCAAATATTTGTATTGCAATTTGTCTCTGATCATACTGTAATTCATTACGCTTATGATGGCCACAGAAGGCCCACTGCGTTCCCTAATGCTCTCAGTTGTGAACAAAAACTTGGTCACCAATAATACGAGACAAACAATTAAAAGGTCATGACTAGACGCCTCTCTTATCGGCCAGCACTGAAGCAATATGTAATGCCTCGCTTGCAGTGTAGTCCCCACACTTAATGAATTAGCTACACGTACTTCAATCTGATCGGTTGATTCGGGTAGCAAACAAAAGCGTTACCATAGAGACTTGCAACAATATCATTGTGCGTGCCGGCGGGATCTATATTATTTTGCGTGATACGCAATATCCTCTTTTGTTGTAGTCGGCCAGCAAGCAATATGCCTATTATACCACTCGCTTGCAATACAGTCCCCATATCACGCATTATTATTGACTACAAGTTGATCTGGGTTGTTGATTCAAACAGAAGTGTTACCATAGAGACTAGTTTTTGTCATTGCCCTCATAATGCCAATAATTAAGCCATGATGTATATGAAGTCAACAAGGTAAGCCAATCTTTGTTCTCATTATGAACCAGAAAGAAATTGGATTGTCATACCTCTGTCTTTATACTGTATTTTCATTGGCCCAGGACGATCACCTGACCGGGCGATAAATATGCATGGCACACTCCCGTTGTATATCACATTGTGATATCACATGCATGTAGACTAGTCCCCGCCCCACAGTCCAAACCATTATGCGCGGACCGCGTTTAAACCAGACTATACTTGTACTCACTGGTACCCCGCAGTACTTTCACGTTCCACAATATAATGTATAGCAGTGAGGGAGCAGTGCATTTGCAGACGATATTTACTTTAATTTGGCGGCCAGCGACGAGCGGTATTAAGATTATGTTTACGTTTACCACCCTTAATTTCCCTTAGAAAAACAAGTAAAACACATCATCAAGACAGAGGTATGACAAAACAGTTGTTGACTGATGTGATGTGGGATATGACGTTTTGAACACCCTCGGGGACGCATAGCACCCTCGGCTTCGCCTCGGGCGCTATGCGTCCCTCGGGTGTTCAAAACGTCATATCCCACATCACATCAGTCAACACCTGTTAAATGAAAGAGAATTTAATTGAATAATATGCATTTTGATTTCGCCCATGGTGTTTTCATTATACTGTAGAGTTTGAACATCTTTCTTTCATTTATTGTGAATTCGTTGAAAATGTAATTATATTATGGTTACAATCTTTCATGTAAACTGACCATTCAAATTGAAAGTTTCCATTTACATAGCCTCCCGGTAGTCATTTACGTAGTCAACTGAATTGTAAATCTGCATTTTAGGCCTAAATGCGCGAGCTTTAGGGCATGGACTCAGTGTTTTCATTATAGTGACTAGCATGTTTAAAATTGCATATTCCTCGAGGCTATTTCGAAGTTTTATCCCGAAAATAGATTGCAATTTTTCGAGCTATACAAAAGTTATTCATTTTTGAATGAGACATCGGCCAAAAAAAATCGGTATTGGGAACCAGTCTGCCCGGAAAGCAGATCTGTTTGTGCCCGTAGTTGTTGCAGGCGTTCACAATAAAAAACAAACAAACAAACAAACAACCCCAACAAACAAACAAACAAACAAACAAACAAACAAACAAACACCCCAACTCCCCAACACCCCAACAAACAAACAAACAAACACCCCAACACCCACACAAACAAACAAACAAACAAATAGGAAACGAATCGAGCCTTTTGGGGTTGGAATGAAGCATACAAGTTGAAAATGTATTAATAGGAAAAAATCTCTAATGTTTCGAATAGCATCGGGGAAAGCCACTTTAACATGAATGGTGGTTAGTTTGAATCTGCATTTGAATCACGTTTGTTAAGAAGAAATGCACCCACTTTTAGTATCAGCAAAGGGTTCTTTAGCGGTGAAATATCTATAAAAAAAAACACGCAAAAACACAAAAACCACTGTGGCCGAATCATGTTGGAAAAAAATGTATGGATAATTGTATATCAACAACTATACCATGCTACCAAAAATAGTCACTGGTTTAAACAAAAGATCGTAAATCAATCTTGAAATTCTCTTGTAGATTTTACGGATAAACAAAATAAATTATTCTTCGAAGATTTCAAAATCTCGTTATCAATTTAACAAAAAATGATCAAGGTACTTTATTTAAAAAAATGTAAGTTTTACATCCATCGCCTGAATTGTTTTCTAATTGAAGGCTGTGCATGTATACATTGTGCTTAAGCTATTATTATTATTACATTATTATTGTAATTTATTATTGTTGATATTGTTGAGACTAGCCCTGTGGTTTTAAAAACTGTTGTTAATTTGGAATCAAACTGACGCCTTGACAATTAGTGCACTTCAAATTGTTTGGATGTTAAACTTTACAACAAATTACCACTACATTAGATTCAAACCTCTGGATCTGTATACTTAATTATAAGAATCTAGTTCATAGTAAAATAGCATTTGGTGTTGTATTACAGAACATGAAGACCTCACAGTCTCTTTTTAATTTTACGAAAGCCAAGTGATGTAAGTGATCTATGCGAATGTAATTGAATGTTTAATCATTATTGTCACCATTTTCACGAACAGCTACACATGTCAAAATGACAATCTTTTCGATTTCGAGTTTTTTCTCACTTTTTCGCTTTAAATCATCGTACTTAACCCTTTTGACATGCTTCTGTAAGCAAAAAACCATTAAATTCGTAATTACATTATTGGTGCAATTAAGGGGCAGGCATCTCAATTAGGCATTTTGCGCTTTCAGATCAAGAGACACGATCATAGGTGCCCTTTGAACGCGTACAAAACGTATTGGACGGAAAGGCATAAAGGTAAGGTCAAGTCCAACCTCGTTCCCCATGGGTACGACCTTGCTGCGCCATGTTGTTTCCCATCATGCCATGCGCGATCTTATAAGAGCAGTACGCTGTGAATATCCAATCAGCGTCATTTACGTCATCATCACGGCCAGGGGTTAGTGTAAGGAACGTGCATTCACCCATGGAGTCAAGGCTGGGTCAAGTCAGAGCCACGTACACATCAGTTGCGCGCGCGTGACACGCGCGCACATTCCCTTTGGAAAAACACAAGGAACAGAAAGGGCCTAAATCATGTTGGAAACGTGGATTTTCGTTTTCACGAAATTCTGCACTAATTAACTATAGCGCTGATTCTCATTACTGGCTTCACATAAAAGTTTACCTGTCAAAGAATCATGTGAATGTTTCAGTTCTACATAAACGTGTTGCAAAGAAGTACTTTAGGCTATGCAGTTTTAAAATATGTGGACCTTCTCTTGCGATATTTCAAAAGCGTGTATCCCTTCAAAATCCACATGTGTGGCTCTTCCTGAACCCGTGGCGTCCGATATGGATTAAATTTCAGGCGATAAATTTCACTGTGTTGTGTATGGCACGCCAAAGCGGAATATATTCAACCCTGCACGGCAACTGCCAACATTATAAAATACATCACAACTTTTTTAAAAAGTATGTCAACATTGTAAAAAAATGTCAACATTTTAAAAAATATGTCAACATTGTAAACAATATGTCAACATTTCAAAAACGTATGTCAACATTTCAAAAATATATGTCAACATTTCAAAAACGTATGTCAACATTTTAAAATTATATGTCAACATTTCAAAAATATATGTGAACATTTTAAAAAATATGTCAACATTTCAAAAACTTATGTCAACATTTAAAAAATATATGTCAACATTTTAAAACAATATGTCAACATTTAAAAAAAATTGTCAACATTTTAAAAATATGCCAAAAAAAATGTAAACAACATGTCAACATTTCAAAAACGTATGTCAACATTTAAAAAATATATGTCAACATTTCAAAAACGTATGTCAACATTTAAAAAATATATGTCAACATTTTAAGAAATATATGTCAACCTTTCAAAAACTTATGTCAACATAAAAATATTTGTTCTGATTAATTAACTAGAAATTACATGTGAACATTGGCCAAAACTACCTACTACTTGTTGACAAATATATGTGTCAACCCATCCTGCGACAAAGTTCACTTAAAATACGTGTCAACATTTCGTCCAAAAATATGTGTCAACACTACCCGATGAAAAATATATGCCAACATTCACGTGACCGCCACGACGGAGTACATGCGCGAAGTATGCTGCGCTAGCACCCGGTGTCACGGTCTCACTTCTCCGGCGTGCTGGATTCTCCGGGTGAATGCGGCGGATAATTGAGCACTTTACAGTGCACGTTACATGAGCACGATACATGCTCATGTGTCCGCTGTGCTTACTTTTCCTCGGGCGGTGCTATGGAGTCTACCAAATGCACCCAAGAGGGTGCAGTGAACTAATTCAAGTGAGAATTTCTACGCGAGCTCATTAGCATAAAAAGTGACCCCACATTTTCTTTTGAAAACGGAGACCGTTTGGCTTAAAAAACGGTGGAAATGTGTAAATGTAGCCAAGGATCAACTCCCTGGTTTTTGGGCTTCCATCTGAGGGCAGGCTTGATAAAATTACGGTTGAAAAATGGGTCCTATTTGCCTGAGAAAGTGGAAGGATGCCACTTGTAAAACGGCTACATGCAGGCTTGGGAACTATCACTTTTCGGGAAGTGATTTTGTACGGCGTTCCACGAGTGCCATCCACTTCTTTATTTACTCAGATAATTCATCACGTCATGTTGACATATCGCCGAGAGTAA